CGTACGTACTGTATTGAAAGGATACGTACGTACTGGAAAGGAAGCATACGTACGATACGATGCTCCCTCTGAATGGATGGATATACCATTCCTACGTACCTATCGTAAGGTACGCTTCCTATGTATGTATCATAGGATCCATCATACGATCCCTCAGTTGAGGATTGTGAGAGGTCTAAGATACCATTTGAGAATACCTCACGAAGAATAGAGATGTCACGAGTCCGGAACAGAGAACCACCATGTAGATTCCCTACCAGGTCTACATGAGGTTCTGATCGGAACTTCGGAATTCTCGTGAACGCGCTTGGTAATCTTCGAATAATTCTAATCTTATATTTCAATTTTCATACACACTTAACACCTACTAAGAGTACATGTAATCTCGTGCATGGAGGACACCAGAAACTTTCTGAAAATAGATGCCCCTGAAATGTGTGGTGGCGTATTTTTATAAATTCAGTTCTTGTGTGGAGGCATTTAATTTTTTCTAAAGGTGCATATTCTGAAAACCAGAACACTCTCTCAGACGAGAACAACGAGAACGAGAACAAGAATGAGAACAACAACGAGAACAAGAACAAGAACAAGAACAAGAACAAGAACAACAAGAACAAGAACAAGAACAAGAACAAGAACAAGAACAACAACAAGAACAAGAACAAGAACAAGAACAAGAACAAGAACAACAACAAGAACAACAACAACAAGAACAACAACAACAAGAACAACAACAAGAACAGCAACAAGAACAACAAGCAGAACAACAACAATTTGACACTGAAAATATTGGGATATTCTAAATCCTCATGAAAAATTGGGCTAGACAGTATACTCAAAAATTCTAATGGTAGTATTTTTAATAATGTTGTTGTTACTGCTGCTTAAAGGTTGGACAGATTTACTAGTAGTACTACTATGCAGTAAGAATGAAATTGAAAAAAATCCTTGGGGGTAAAATCTTCTTCTTATTCCTGCCACTGATGGAATACGAGTTTTCGATGCATTGCGCACCCCTCTAAATTATGACCCCTGATATGAGAGAGCGGTTTAATGTCATCAGTTGTTTGAACAGAAAAAGAGGAAGACAGATGACAGACATCGGAGCAAGGGTGCGTTCGTTATTCTGTACGATTGATGAATACAGTACATCATTATCCGTCGTGTACGTACGCGGGGACAAAGAATATCATTCTTCGTCTGGCCATAATAAAATATTGACGTAACAATAATTCTCATTTCAAAGTTATGATTCAGATTGATATAAACTTTAAAAACTCATTGTTTTTTCATCAGCACAAGGGATAAGGACGGGTCTGAGCCATGGATTGTTCGCAATCATTGCATAATTATTTAACGTACTTTTTCTTGGTCTCTTTTGTGAGTCGAAACGGGAACATCATGGCAGCATAGGCTATTAAATAATAACATCGTAACATTATGTCTCAAAATCACATAAGYCTCCGCATTCATTGTATCCTTAAGTATTCGAAAATACAGGAATACGAGTTGATAGAATACCAGAAGATTGAGAGAATTGTATTTGTTTTGAGCTGGGTGGTATTTTTTCAGATATGCCTGATCGGTTCGCTTCCATAAAATGTGCATTGAGATCGCTATTTTGCGATCCTCTTCCTGGAACAATATTATGCCTAAGTTGTTCTGGACCAGTCTAGTTGTGAGAAGATTTCAAGCAAAAAATATGTCAACCAAACACAACGGCAGACTTTAAAAATCATATAACACTCCCGATATGCAGACTTAAGAAGTCACATAACACTCCCGAAACGATCCCTTGTGAAGTAGAGTACGACGAAGGAAGTACTTCATGATGCTTCTGCTCAGGTGATTTTATCTCGTGTTTTAAAAGATGCCATAATGCACCACACATGAACCTGTGCCATCAGAGACACAAGAACAACGCAGTCTTAAACCATACAATTGATAAATACCAAGATGTGGAATCGCGTCGCTCTCGCGGCATTGCTTGTCTTTGCCGGGGCCATATCTGTCGCGAACGCTCAAAGTCTGGCTGAGAAGTGGGACATAGGGGAACTTACAACCGGCTTTAACCCTGAAACTAACACCTTTACATTTACCTATGCAGTGGACGATTCTATCGCGACTGTCAATACTGCTGGCCAGCTGTATCAGATTGGCTGCAAAGAAGAGAATCTTGAGCTCAACGCCGATGAAGGTATCACAGACGTAGTGACAGCTGTTTCAAGCACTGGTAGCGCTACTCTTACTTTCACCATGAACTTCGGTATTCTGTCAAACTATGACACAATCCTGAATCGGGAAGAATCTTACATGGACACCTGTGTCCGATTCATGCTTCAAACTGATAACCAATTGGTGGAGGTCAATTTCCTCGAAGCTACACTCCGAATATTCTTCGATCTGACTGCTGGTATTGTCATGGACTTCAATGTTGCTCCACTTGAAAAGGAGGTCGTTGCAGCAGAGAAGAATTATGGTGCTGAAGGCTTCCTCTGTAATGCTGAAACTTTTGAACCATTCGAAGACAACGTCTTTCTGCCAGGATCCGTTCTCTCTGTTTGCGTCAAACCGAACGAGGAGGCACTCAACGATGGCTTGTATATGGAAAAAATCGAAGAATTCGCATGGGTCCGAGGCGCCATCAGACAAGAGGCAATCGTTGGCGGTGGCTCTTCTAGCAATGGCTTGACGATCATGACTTGTGGAGATCCTGGTAAGTACGCAGTTACGACTCATCGTGCCTTTGCGAAGGAGTTTCTGTGGGATTACGTCACTGTATCTCATGCCTCTTCCTTTTCCATTCGGTTCTACACAGAAACAGGTGGCTTTTGCTCCTTCACATCGTATCTAGTGGCAGACTTCTACCGACCACCAACGTTTCCTCCAACCCCATTCCCCTCATCAGCCGGAGGAGGAAGAGGTAACGGCGCCCCGCCGTGCGAACACTGTTTAGTTTGTCATGAAAGTACTGGTACTCCCGAAATAACCACCGAAAAGTTGGTGCATGGGTTTTGTATTTACAAAGAAGCGAATACTACCATGAACTTGAACCAGAGGTCTTCCACAACTTGGTATTACAATTGGGGTGCGTATACTAATAGCATCCCTAACTTCAGCAGCGAAACGCGACTGTTTGAAGACTCGAATTATTTTCCAGAAATAATGTACAACGGCACCGAGACCGAGATTCCTCCAGACGAGGAGTTTTGCGAGGGTGGATATTTCTACAGGGCCGATCATTACGAAGTAAGTTTATCCATTTGTTTACGAGACAACCGAAACAGTCCCAAATCCATGGTATTTCACAACATGAATTTGTCACGAATAGTCGAATCTGAATTTCCAATGTGACTAAAACGCATCGTCGCATCCGCGATTGATTCCTTGATTTGCCTCTCTTCCGCATAGGAGGAGGACGTAAAACAAACTCTTATTTCGATTAAGAAGTTAGGAGTTTATGATTCCTCCGAAGATGTGGGAGTGACATTTTGCACCATGGTCACGACGGACACAGCCCGAGATGGGGGGCTCAATGACCATTTCATGTCTACATACTACGATCCAACACCAGGCCTGACATTCGAACTGGGTGCAAACGCACACACGTTTTCGGGTCTAATTGGTTGGACAAATGTTGCAGGATACAACTACGAAGGTAGCGACGCAATATACGAAAGGTTCGGATGGAATCAAGATGTCCATGTCATAGTCGACTGCCCGAACAGCTTTTGCTACTCCACGTATCAAGGTTATTTCTACCTGCCGAATGCTGATAAAAATGGTTATCCCTTGACCAGCGGCCTTGTCTTTAGACTGACGGTGGAAGAAGGAGGTGTATGGGTCTATACGCCAAGGTACCGTTTGACCGACACAACCAACGCCGCAGCCTACCAAAAAACGTATGGAGTCTTTACCGGTGAGACAATTACTTTGGCCTATGCGCCCACCGGGTACGGAAAAGGATACTGGTATAGAGAGGGCGAAAACGCACAATTCAACGCCACCAAAAATCAATTCTCCATCAACGGTGGTGACGCAACCGTCGATCCCCATGACATGAACGTCCTCTGTTACGATTATACCGGCGATATGTGCTCTTATTATCCTTCCTATGACGAATTTTGGGATAACCAACTTTTTCTCGAGGGAGGCGGAAGTCGATTTCTCGAGGAAGACGCAGACAACGCAGACGAACCAAACGGTTCCTTCGGGGAAGAAGATTCCAACACCCGAGGCCTCGAAGGCCTCGATGATGCCGACGAGTATGCCCTCGTGGGCGGAGAGGGCACGATCCTTCTGGACTTTAGCAGACGCCGAAACCTGGACGGAGCCCAGGGCCGTTCGCTGCAGGCTGCCGAAGAGCCGGTGCTCAGGACGTTCTCCCTCGACGCCACGGTGGCTCCGGGAACCGACGAGATTGGTTCTCTGCGAACCGCTGGTGGCAACCGTTTGCAGAAATCAATGGGGGTTCTTGGGTTCCTAGCCTGGGCAACAGCTGTGGCGGTCCTCGTGTGGTAGGGGAACCGTCGGGTCCGTCTCCGGCAGGGAAAAAGGGAACCAACGATGTTTGAATGCACGAGTAATGCGTCTCCTAGTTCTGTATTTGGTTGTACACGCAGAGTACGGTAGAACTTGAATTATATAATTTATTTTAAATGTAAAAAAGAGCAACACACGTTCTTGTCGAGAACAACTGTACGGTACTTCCACTATCTAACCGGAACCGCTTCTCTTCCGTCAAGGAGTTCGCTGTCTACGCAGGATCAACATTCTTTCGTTCTGGGGTTCTTCGCCGGCTTCGATGTCCTCCGGACGATCACCATTGCCGGCATCATTCGCAAGAAGCATGCCCCCATTCTCGCCTTGCATAGGTTCGGGTTCCCGGGCAAAGTTCATGCGGCCGACGAATGTGCTGCACAAGGTCAATACGGAGAAGGTAGAACCAGTAGCAGGATATTGAAGGACGGGCATTCCGGTGCCAGCTAGACCGAGTGCAAAAAGGTCAAGGAAGATGCAGGTTTGGAACATCCGGACCACGGATCTTCTAGCGGGATCGTTTGGGGGGAAGCCGATCCTTCCGTTATGGTACTCGTACAGACACCGCGCCATTGCCAAGAGTTGGAACATCGTCGAGACACCAATGAATTTGCGAAAGGGTTGAAAGTTTTGCAGCTTGGTCGGATCGGGATCCCAGTGGATGTATCCCTGCAGAAAGCAATAGATGGCGGTCGACACGCAGCATGAAACCCCGAGCACTGAATAATGGAGGGCAATGCCGAGCCCGGCAAAGTTTTCGATGCTTCCGTGTGCGTTCCGATTCAGGCCGATGAAGACGCAGGCGCTGTTGCCAAAGGCGTACGCCACTGATGTGGGCGAAGGGCCCAACCGCCGAAAACTCGTCGTTGGTATTGTACCGGTGGATGCTGCACATGCAGCTCATTAGCTGGCACAAACAGGCGCCCAGGGCGATCTTGAGGATGTTGTTTCTCTGGAGTTCTCTTTCGATGATGCCCTGCACGACCAGAATGTACAAGACGTTGAAGGAGTTAAAGGCAAAAAACCCAATGTGGGCTACCATGAAAAGCATATTGCGCTCATCTGTTCCAGGAGTCGTTGAATCACCCAGCTTGAGGAATGAGGCTAGAGGATGGTTGTCTTCGGGCATTGAACCGAGGTCGTTGCTGTTCCCTGGCATTGTAGTTTGCGAGTATTGCTTCGGGTACTGTATTGACTTGCGTGGTGGATTTACTTACTTCGTTGGTTCTTAAGGAATTGAATATTATGATTGTTGCAATCAAGCAATCTTTTGAAATTAGGCGTACTTACTGTTGTGAGGCGCAATGAAAACGTCGCGTCGTTTTCGGTTTTTCCATCGATGTTGTTTTCGGTTTTTTCCACGTACGTTTTCTACTATACCTTACAGGACATGTTACGGCAAAGGACATGTTACGTTAAAAATCTGAATCGGAAACGAGAATTTTTCGTGACGCCGTAAGCCCGGATTCTGCAAAAATTGAACGAGTATTCCTCAATTGAATGGTACTACTGTATATGCCTGCGACTCACGTTTGACCTGACACCTTTGTGACCCACGTACCGGTACGTAGGTTTTGTACGGTTGCGTGGTTTTTTTTTAACCAGGCTCACAATCACGACTGAATTGTCAACATCTTGGGAGTGCGTTAAATACCTCCTTCGCCAAGAAATGAAAAGCCTATGAACATTTGACACAACGAAACGCTTCATAGGCTCTTTTGTGTTGAATGAATGTTGATAATAGGCTCTTTCACCCATATCGGTGCGGCACATCCAATATGCATCCAATCCTGCAATATTCACTTAAGACCATACATGTAATACATACGTGCTGCACCTCCAAACGGACTGTTACGCGACCACAACATAGTATTGATATTTATAATTTGCAAATCACATGGTCGCGCATACCAGTACCATCCAATCCTCCAATATTTCAAGGGATTTGTGCAGCAGATGAGCAACAGATGGCTTGATCGAATAAGGTCCCACCAGCTCAGTGTGCTCATTCTTTATTTTCAATTATCTAACCAATAGGACATTCATTTATTCTAAGGTTTCGTAGCGTAGCTATTTTCTTCTGATGAAAAATACAACAAATAGTTTGAGTACGAAACGCAACTACGAACTTGATATTTAATCCATTTCAGACCAGTGCTTCCTCTCACACGATAAAAACGACGAGACCGTTACTTTTTTGGGACTGTAAGAAGTGTTTCGTATCAAATATCACTCATCGCAGGGAAGCTATAATTTGAATTACTCGATACGAGGCAACGATGTGATCCGATCCGATTCGATTCGATTCGATCCGATCCGATCCAGTCTCAACCAACCCGATGGAACAGAAGCGCATCGGGAGCCAAACTACACGAACAGCATTCCACTTGGTTAGCCAGGTTTTTCCAAGTTAGCCAAGGATCCTAATGTTCCGATTCTAGCTCGCGTCCTGTCTTTGATTGTTCTGATTGTCAACTGTATGTATCTATTGGTTTAAATGTTTATTTTGCTCTACGTGTTGCTAGTTTTTGGCTTCTGCCCCCCCCGTAAGAATCGTACCGGATCGGTTCCCACGGCCAACCCCTGGTTGGAACGCATCGGTGTGTGCATCCATCCGGCATCCATCCCTCCGAATGCCTTGCCCCGCCTCGCCTCGTCTTGTCGGCGGCGCCTTTTTTTCCCCGTCCCACGCTCGTTGCCGTGTGGTGTTGCGCTGCGCTGCGCCGCAGCGGGCACGGAACCGCAACAAGCGGGACCGAGCACGCTGCGTACCGGCTGGCTTGCGGTCGTGCCCGTCCTACAGATGCCGCAGGCGCATTGCGATGCGCCGCGGCGGTGGGTACGGGGCGCGGAGGTGGGGTTCGGCCCCCCGGCTTGCCGCCGCTGCCGGGCCGGTGGCAACCGTCGTCCGCTCGCTGGTGTCGGCTTGGCGGCCCGTGGCGGCGATTGCGATCGGCGTGGTGCTCGTTCCGGTGGCGTGGTTCAGCATCGCGTTGAGCTCGACGAGTGTGAGCTTTGCGTTTGCGKGCAGGGATTGGATTGCCTTTCGCGCCAGCAGCAGGTGCGCAATTTTGTCGATGGACTGGTTCATGGCCGTGCCGGTTCGTTGGATCGTTCGTTCGTTGGGTTGTTTTGTGTGCGAGAAGGATATGGCACGGTACGGGTAGTTCGTTGGTAAAATATGTGTTTGTGTTTGTTGTGTTGGATGTGAGAACAAAGCGATGGTATCGGATATTACTCTTTCTGCTGGCGTGTTCTCCTTCCGTTTTTCGGCTTTCTTGCGTTGTGAGAACGAGAGGATCCGAAATTCGTGCTGGTGCATTCGGATTGTTGGAGCTAGGTGTGCTAGGTAAGGGTACTCAAAATTCTCAATGAATCGGCGGGGACGATTCTGTTCTTGGGCGGAATAGATTTCTCGAAAATTCGGGTCCTCTTCCATATTGAGCGTACGGTACATTCTTGTGTACGAGAATCATGGAGCCCACCGTGATCTTAGATTCTTTGTCGAGTTTACAAGATTCGGTTTAGTACGTACCGGGTATGGTACGTACCGGTAATAGACGGAGTTGCCAATTCGAACTTTCGAGATGTCGTAGTGCGTGCATTTGTGCTTTTCATGATTGGAAAAAGTCTCGTTGTCCTTTTCATGGACCATCTGCTTGTGTGTCGTCAGCACGGATGATTGTAACATGCGTTCCGGTGCATTTGTACGAGCAAATTGGGGCTGTCACCTTGTCACATTCGTCGGAGTTGCACTGGCAAACCCTCCGTGATCAAAATTTGTATATGTATAATTTGCATCACTGTCGCAAGCTGGTTTAGCTCAGTGGTAGAGCATTTGACTTGTAATCAAAAGGTCGGTAGTTCAATCCTGCCATCCAGCTATATCGCGACRTCGACTTTTGTTGGCTGGATTCTTTTCGTTCTCTTTTTGCTCTCGCCGGATCGTCTGTGGCAGAGGCGCTTCATTTTTCCCTAGGTGCATTTTTTCCTCGCGGCAAAACGTACCAGATGTACGGTACTTCGTACGGTATGAGGCGGTACGACAACTGTGTGTGACTGGAACTCATACACTCTAAACGAGCCGGCCAGGTTCTTGTTCTTGCATACTCGGCATTTCCTCGCCCCATTTCGTTTCCGGTAACTCGTAAGCAAACGTACCGGTACTACCGTATTCGACTAAGTGGTTCAGTTATAGTACAATACAATGAACCACGTGTCGCTTACAGGCAGCCTTGGTACATGTGCATGTGGTACATATGGTATGTGATACGTACCGCATTTACGTACAACACCGTACAATTCATTAGTGGTATTTTATTCATTAGTGGTATTCATTAGTGGTATTCATTAGTGGTATTCATTAGTGGTATTGTACATGTGGTACATATGGTATGTGATACATACGTACCGCATTTACGTACAATACTGTACAATTCATTAGTGTATGTACCACATGTACAATACTACCACCACCACTAATGAAGAATACCAATAATGAATACAACAATACCGTACAATCAATGGTATGAATACCGTACAATCAATGGTACGATATTGTACAATGAATACATAGAATACTGTACAATGCAAGTGTTAAGGTTAATCCCCGGTACATGGAATGGCAATGATGATGTTGAACCCCAGCAAGAAATAAATTTCATAGTTCAGTTCTACAGAGATCTGGCTGAAAAGTATAATTTATTGAAATTTGATTGGGTTACTTGTTGGTCATAGTAGGTGACGTTGCTCAAACAGATGTGCAACGGATACGTACGTACTGTATTGAAAGGATACGTACGTACTGGAAAGGAA